TTGCTCCCGTAAACTAGGACCAGCTGAACAGTGTTTGTGATGAGCTAAAGTAATGATGTTGTTTCTGAGAGCTTGTGTTTGTGTTGGTTTGACATGTGTTCCCTGCCCTCAAAGCCTTCAGCTCCATCCCACCCATGTTTCCTTTAAAACCATATATTCTGCTATGTGTTTGACTCACTGTGGTGTTAACTGGGAATGTAAGAAGACACTGCTGACGCCATGTAAATCTCCATCCAGTCACCCAGGGGAGTTACGATCATACTTGCCAACCCTCCCGATTTTCGCGGGAGACTCCCGATTTCACTGCCCTCTCCCGGTTTCCTCCCGGGGTCATATTTCTCCCGCATTTCTGACAAAATCAGATTTATTCACGACTGTTTCCACTGAGGACTTTAATACAGCTACACCATTGTTTGGTTTCCATGGTAGCGCATCTCTTTAGTAGCGCGCGCAACTGAAAGTCTGAGAGGGTGTTCAGCATGGTGAGGAAGATAGTCACAGAACAAGAATGGACAACTCTACCCTCTGCTCACTCCTTTCCTGGTCCTCATCAAGGTTGGTGCTACAGGCAGCAAGGCATTGGACTTACAACTACAAGCATGTGTAGATGTTCTTTTCATCTTTAAAAGTCAGTTTCCCCGCTGCGAGGCTCCGGTGCTAACAGTTCTAACAGCTCCGGCGATCCACTAGCAACCCCCCCCCCCCCCCCCCCTCTCCCGATTTCTGAGGTCTCAAGGTTGGCAAGTAGGCTATGGTTACGATGTGAGAACTTATAATGAAACTAGAAGAAACAACTCGTATTTCTACCTTGACCGCTAATCACCACTAATGTAGGTTAACCTTAGTTTGTTCATCATGGTAGTACGGACAGGCATCATTTCTGACAGCTACAGCTGTTGTGCGTTCAGTGAAAATCGATCAGTGTGGATGAAGTCTTAAAAAGGTTCCAGTCACCTGTTTTAATCCTCAGACCCCGGACATGACCCCCACCCCCTCCCACTTTGTTACTGTTAAGGTTGGCGTTTTGGTTGTTGGTTTGACAGAAAGAAGTGTATTTCAGAACATATGAAAGACACTTTGAGCAGATTCAAACTGCCAGACTCAGCTGGGTGCCTTGAGGTCAAGTATTGCATTAAGTTTGGAAATGTGCTAATTCTCCTCCGGTCTGTTTAACACAATCTTCCCGTTTGCTGCTTTTTGTGCTGTAGGTATGAACATCAACACGTTAGTAGAGATAAGGTCAGGGTTTACACTATACAAGGTACAGTAAACGCATAGGTCAGTGCAAGTCACAGCATATTAGACTTCATAGCTACAGAAGGAATGCTAAGCACACTTATGGTTCAGAAACAGTATTTGTTGATTATGTAGTATCTGTACAGGAGAAACACGAAGTACAAAACATATCTTTGTGACGTCCTAATGTCATTGTTGCTCACTCTAAAATAATTCATCTTTTCTCTATTCAAATGACACAATATGTTGTATAGTCTATTTCACCCTTTCCACAGTATTTGCAGTGCAGGGAAGCGCACTGGCTCTATAGCTATGGTGCAATTAGTGCTGCCCTTTGCTACAGTTTACACAGCAGTGTGCTCATTTCTTTTTTTCAGAAAATGTATATCCAAAACATACGTAACTGTTTAAAAAAGCTTTTCTTGTCCCAAAAGCACTGGCACAGCCTCGACATTACACTAGGTTTCCTTAGGAGTGACTACAAAGTACACAGTGATTATTTCTACAACACTTAAAGGTTGTGATTCAGTGTAAACATGTACAAAACCTCATGCTGAATGAAACCTATTCTTCTGCAGTTATTATGATATTTACAACGGCAGGCCGCCTTGCATTAGTAGCTACTTCTCCTCTGACGAGTTATTCCTTGAAAACAGGAGTCATGGACGTTCCCTTGTAGAAAACGTTCCGGGCGTTGTCCGGGCTGTCGGCTCTCTCTGGAATCAGGATGATATTATTGCCTTTCCTCCGCAGGGTGGACTCCCGGCTGGAGGCGACAGAAAGGGTTTCTGAAGCGCTCTCTCCACCTCCTCCAGATCCAGAACCATCCCCCGGAGTGACCCTGATGGTGGACATGCCCTGCGGGTGGAGCCGGTGCTCGGACTGGCTTGGGTTCTGCGTGTGAACAGTGACTGTGGTGGGGGTGCTGTTGGTGGCAGTTGTGGTTACGATGTGATTGGCCTGCTTTCTGTCGATGGACCCTTCACGTATGGAGTCTGAGCTTTCTGAGTCTCTGTTCAGATCGTTGAGCTCAAAGGACTGCTTCAGGCTCCCACCACCTCCTCCTGATCCTCCTCCTGATCCTCCTCCTGATCCTCCTCCTGATCCTCCTCCTGATCCTCCTCCTGGTCCTCCTCCTGGTCCACATGTCCCTGGACCTCCAGCAGCTCCAGTGCCATGATCCAGGGATCGCCACCTCCACGTTCCACTTCCATCTGTAGCTGGAGCTTGGATCACTGGTCTGTCGTTTTCAGGGTGGGCCTCTACTCTGACAATTGCTCCGGTGCTTCCTGAAATACTGCCTGAAGTGCTACCCAGGGAGCCGGGCCCCGTAGTGCTTGTGGGATCTGGATCGGGTAGCACCCGGTACCGAGCTGAGCCCGGGCAGCTCCCGCTGGCGCTGCAGCCGATGCTGCTCTCATCTAAGCTCTTGGAATGGATCTGCAGGAGGCCCTGCTGCTTGGACATAGCTATCACTTGCATAATTCGAGGCTGGGTGTTGTGGCCGTTCTCGTTAGTCCTGAAGGCGGTGGTCTTCTCTGCAGCCCGCTGCCAGTTGGCCTGAACTGTGCTGTTTATTGTGGACATCCCCTCACTCTCTCCTTCTCCCCCCATCCTCGGGTTGGTTGTGTTGTAGTTCTCATGAGCTTCCTCTGGTATGTGGACCAGCTGTGAAGACCCAGGTCTAGACTGCATGGATATCCTGGCCCCTCCGGTGATTCCGCTGCAGTTACTGGGCAGGGTGGTACTAGCACCTGTGGCCAGTTTGGACATGTAAGAATGACTGTCGAAGCCTCCATTCAGGCCCATAGCCATGGGCTCGGAGCTAGACCGGAGCTCCATACTGCCGTGGTGGTGAGGGTGCTGGGATGACTGGCCGGAGGACGAGTCTACAGAAGAGGAGAAGGAGTCCGGGACCTGCAGGGAGCATTTGTGGTTGTTCTTACTTTTCCACTGAGACAGGAGCTGCTTGGATCGACTGGAGTCCATGGAGGCATGGTGGAGGGTGGCGGCGTGCCGTCTGGCTGCCTCCTCATATGCTGCCATTGCCTGGGGGGTGTGGACCCGCGGAAGAGTTTGGCTGAAGGTCATGATGGCGTCTTTGCTCTGGGGGCTGCGGGGGAGATATCACTTCCACCTCTGCACTGGAGCGCTTCAGACTGTCTTCAGACCTCTGCTGGGGGAGGCCGCGGTGCAGGAGGCCCTCGGAGTGAGAGGTGTGCATGCCGAGCTCCCCGGCCATGCTGGCTTTCATCTGCAGGTGGTGGAGCACCGCCTCCTGGCTGATGTGGGGCAAGGAGCAGGGGGGCCGGTGTAGGATCGGAGGGGGACTGGCACTGGCCTCCTCGCTGGGCTGAAAATTTCCAACTGCATACAAACCCTGTTGGAAAGGAAAGAGAGGAGTGTTATGTGGGGGGGGGGGGGGGGTCTCTATCTGCATCATTTCAAACAGAATGAATGAGTCACGTTGGCGGTGGTCCCCCTCTGTGTGAATGTGTGGCTTTAACAGTAGGATTTCACTTGTATTTGAACATTGTTGGCCCCTACCAGGTAGACAGCAATAGCCCCTCCAAGCAGGAAGCCCAGGTAGACGTCGATGGCGTGGTTCTTGTACTGAATGATCCGGGTCAGACCGCATATAATGGCACAGATAATAAAGGAGAAGACGAGGAGGGGCTTCAGCAGCTTGGACGAGTCTGTCAGAGTGCTGTTGAAGTACATCTGTGGACAGAGGAGCACACACACATTCCAGCAGAGTTAGTCCATCACCACACGTTGGTCCATCGTGAGGGGCTTCATGGAGCAGGTCTAGGGGCTTCATGGAGCAGGTCTAGGGGCTTCATGGAGCAGGTCTAGGGGCTGCATGGAGCAGGTCTAGGGGCTTCATGGAGCAGGTCTAGGGGCTTCATGGAGCAGGTCTAGGGGCTTCATGGAGCAGGTCTAGGGGCTTCATGGAGCAGGTCTAGGGGCTGCATGGAGCAGGTATAGGGGCTTCATGGAGCAGGTCTAGGGGCTTCATGGAGCAGGTCTAGGGGCTTCATGGAGCAGGTCTAGGGGCTTCATGGAGCAGGTCTAGGGGCTTCATGGAGCAGGACTAGGGGCTGCATGGAGCAGGTCTAGGGGCTTCATGGAGCAGGTCTAGGGGCTTCATGGAGCAGGTCTAGGGGCTTCATGGAGCAGGTCTAGGGGCTTCATGGAGCAGGTCCGAGCGTCTGGTTACTCACCGAAACATAGACAGCGGCGAAGGAAGCCAGGGTAGCATGCTGCGACGGGAAGGACTTTCTGCAAGAGATGAAAGAACAGAAATAGACTCAGTCATCATTCATTCATGTGTGTGTGTGTGTGTGTGTGTGTGTGTGTGTGTGTGTGTGTGTGTGTGTGTGTGTGTGTGTGTGTGTGTGTGTGTGTGTGTGTGTGTGTGTGTCACAACAGGAGGTGGAAGGAGGTATACAAGCATAATGAGGTACCTCAAACACCACCCACATCACACACTCACGTTCTTCACATTGTCAGAACCCAACACACACACACACACACACACACACACACACACACACACAGCATTTTTAACATTGCAGTGTATCTCTATAGCATGCCTCTAGCCGAAGTGTGAGCGTCAGTGCTGTGCTGCAGTGTGGCAGAGGCAGCTTAGCTGAGCTCCATAATGAAGTGAACCTGTGGCCCAGTTTCTCCGCTCCAACACAATGACCTACTTCTGACTCCTCAGAGCAGCCTCCTCTCTGCTCCTGACGCCAATGAGTTAGAGCATTCATGCAGATGTATGTATATCTCTCTGTGTGTGTGTGTGTGCGTGTGCGTGTGCGTGTGCGTGTGCGTGTGCGTGTGCGTGTGTGTGTGTGTGTGTGTGTGTGCGTGTGCGTGTGCGTGTGTGTGTGCGTGTGTGTGTGTGTGTGTATCTATCTATGTTGGAACCAAGAAGTAAATATATGAAAGTTATTTCCAAGAAGAACAAAAGAAGGTATTTTACCACACAAACATCTTTAGTAATGGCAATTATTTAGTAACCTGTCTTAAAACACATTTTAGGGACGCTCTGCCTACAGCCTTGTCCCCGCCCCCTCTGGGTGAGAACATCAGCTGATTGGTCAGAGCATTCCCAGAGCTTCCCTGACACGCTGTGTAATAAACAGACTGTCACTGTTTGATACGGCTGTGTCCTGTCATGCTTCAACAGTGTCTCCACCTCGTCTTGTACTGACAGTACCACAGACAGTACCACTGACAGTACCACAGACAGTACCACAGACAGTACCACAGACAGTACCACAGGCAGTACCACAGACAGTACCACAGACAGTACCACAGACAGTACCACAGGCAGTACCACAGACAGTACCACAGACAGTACCACAGGCAGTACCACAGACAGTACCACAGACAGTACCACAGACAGTACCACAGACAGTACCACAGGCAGTACCACAGACAGTACCACAGACAGTACCACAGGCAGTACCACAGACAGTACCACAGACAGTACCACAGACAGAGTATGATCTACAGCACAAAGCCACTGCTAACCTGGTGATAACTGCGTCTACTTTTATTCACTTTATTCAGCATAACTTCCATTTTGTTTCCTATCTGTCAGACTGGGGATTACCCAGAATGCACTTGAAGGTTAAACACATGCAGAGAGCCTGACCTGCCCTGGGTGATGGCTGCAGGGTCGCCCCCGGAGCAGATGTCGTCCATGACATAAGGATTCTGCTCACAGCTGACGTTGGTGTAGTTGGGTTTACACACCGTGAGGAAGTAGGGCGCCGGGTAGCCGGTCATCAGCTGGAGGACGTCGGTGATGAGGGCCGTGGCACAGAGACCGAAAGCATGAACGCCTGAGGATAGAAGACGGGATGTGAAGGAACAAGCTACAGGTACACAAAGGTGTACACACACATACACACACACACACACACACACACACACACACACACTTCCTCATAGCATTAGTTTGGTTAAAGGTAGGGTAGGTAAGTTTGAGAAATCGGCTCGAGATACACTTTTTGTTATATTCCATGGAATGCTCTTAACATCCCGATAGCAATGAATATCTGAAGTGCTTTGACAACAAATCCATAAATAAATATCATCTGTGGAAGCTGTAGTACTGTAAAAAGCACGACCAATCATCTGAGCCGGCCCGGCTAAAATAACTGGATGGCCTACCTGCCTGTCAGCCTTCCATCTGTGCACAAACTTATCTCGTGCCCTCATTGGTCATGTGCGCGTTCGTGTGTGTTGGAGGAGGGGCTCTGGAAGGAAGTGGCAGATTTTCTCCGGTTGTGTATTTTCAAATTCTAGCGATCTCGAGCCGGTTTCTCAAACTTACCTACCCCACCTTTAAAGTCGGTTTTTGTTCCATGGAAGAGATTTACTTTCCAAATGTTTTTTAAAATGATCCGTCAGATGCTCTCAGTGTGTAGAAATGAAAGAGTGTGTACCAACGAAGCGCACAGCTCTGCGTATGAAGGAGTTGAAGTTGCAGCCAGCAGCGTTGATGTTCGCCTCGGCCCCCCCGCCACTCTTCCTCCGAGACGTACAGCAGAAAACAATGGCCTCCCCGATCATTATCTGTCAACACACAACATATTGAGGTTAAAGCTGATTAAGATGGAGGATATTTAAATCCTCTGGATGGATCCTCACCGTGATGGCCGGCCCGGCGAAGGCCAGGCTGAGGAGCATCAGGAAGGGGATGACCTCGTGGTTGGGGTCGATGTAAGGGAGGCTCAGGCTGCGGTCGTGGCAGTTGAAGCCAGACTTCACCGGCTTGAACACATCCGTCCACTCCAGGAAGTAGAGACTGACCACGGACGACACCAGGATGGGAAGCTGTGGAGGAACAGAGAGACCTGATGAACATCTGAGGAGAGGCACGACCAAAGCAATACAACAGGAACACATAACCCTACGCTTCAACGCTTCAATGACCATGCTAATTTGATTTAATAATGAGAAATGGCACGGAGGGGGAGGAGACGCTGCTGATGGAATGAATCTTATAAACATAAAGTGCAGTTTGAACTTCATGTTTATTACGGTCAGTCTTCATTAAAGACTCAGCAGTTCAATCCCAACCATGAAATATAGAGCTGGTGCTTCAGCTGTGCAGCCAGTGGTGAGCTGGTCAGCAGGCTGTGGTTATTTAAGTCTCCGGACATGCTGGAAGACTGCAGTGATGCTGACCTGTCACACTGCCGTCCAATCAGAGCATAGGCGTCCTTTGCGCCGGCGACGCTGGGGACATGTCCCCACCACTTTATAAAAGTATAACTTATAAATGTTCTTATAAATAGCGTCACAAAGAAATGTAAAACAAGAGGGTAACCAGTCCTGTCAGGAGCAGGAGGTGCATTGTGGGAGCTGAATGTGGCCTAGAGCAGTGCTTCTCAAACTTTTTTCAGTAATGTACCCCCTTTGAAACATTTTCTCAGCCAAGTACCCCCTGACCGACCCCGAACATTTTTGATAGAAAAAGCCTATATAAATAATTACAATATAGTGATGTTCCCTCAGTGTGTGATTTATTAACTCTTTCGTGCATGAATTACAACAAACTAAGGATATTTTCATCTTCATGCATGAAAAAAAATAACATAACGACATTTTTATAAAATAGATTTTTCCAAGGAGTTTTTCAATTGAAGTAATATGTTTAACAAACCAATGAACAAAATGATATATTGTGAAAAACTATAAAATACAATACACACATTTGACATGTTTATATGAGGACCCCCTTGGTGGTTCTAGGAATATTTTATATAAAATTGTGTTTTCTATTTAATTTATTGTACTAAGATTATTTTTATTTAATTAACCTTTTTTTAATTAACCTTTTTTTAAATCTCACGTACCCCCTGCAGTACCTCAACGTACCCCCAGGGGTCCGCGTACCCCCATTTGAGAATCACTGGCCTAGAGCATCATGAGAGTTATGATGCAGCTTAATACCCTGATCCTGATCCCCGGGTACAGCGAGGGGGGGGTACCACTATATTGCTGCAGGGAAGACTTCAGTATAACTGTGGGGGAAATGTAGCAGTCTGAACAGTAACATATATGCTAGCTTGTAGCTTGTAGCGACACTCGTCAGTTCAGGTGCTCAGCAGCAGTGATCCATTTGTGAAGTTCATGCATGTGTGACAGTGGCTAAATACTGAACACAGTTTCTAACAGAAGTATGCCGACTCAGCACACAGTCCGGTCAACCCTACGTCTATTCGCTGCTCACACTCTCACTGAGGTCTGATCTCCGTCCTGTTTCCAGCAGGCGACGAGCACAGGAAGTCACTCATACGAACTACATGAGAACCCCTCTGGAAACTCTCTGCATGTTTTAACAGCCACACTTTCTTCTCAAGTTGTTTACAAGGTGTTTGGCTAGACAACAGTCCCTCCAGTCGGGCCTCAGGGCCTGCAGAGGGTCATTGAGGCATGGATAATGGATTTGGCTGGCAGTGGTTATGGTGGGGGCCCGACTGGTAACAGTACAGGTCTCTCAGAAAAAGAGTGTTTGCAGTGAACTCTGTGAGAGGCTTTGGATGGAACAAAGGGAAAATGGAAGGAAAGCTGACTCTACTGAAGCTAAAAAAGGTTCATACACAGCTGGTAAGTTCGAACTGATCTGACTGCATTCAGAGTTCTGCTTCTTCCACAGAGCCTCTCTGCTGTCCTGCTTCTTCCACAGAGCCTCTCTGCTGTTCTGCTTCTTCCACAGAGCCTCTCTGCTGTTCTGCTTCTTCCACAGAGCCTCTCTGCTGTTCTGCTTCTTCCACAGAGCCTCACCCCTGTCCTGCTTCTTCCACAGAGCCTCACCCCTGTCCTGCTTCTTCCACAGAGCCTCTCTGCTGTTCTGCTTCCTCCACAGAGCCTCACCCCTGTCCTGCTTCTTCCAGAGAGCCTCTCTGCTGTCCTGCTTCTTCCACAGAGCCTCTCTGCTGTTCTGCTTCTTCCAGAGAGCCTCACCCCTGTCCTGCTTCTTCCACAGAGCCTCACCCCTGTCCTGCTTCTTCCACAGAGCCTCGCCCCTGTCCTGCTTCTTCCACAGAGCCTCTCTGCTGTCCTGCTTCTTCCACAGAGCCTCACCCCTGTCCTGCTTCTTCCACAGAGCCTCTCTGCTGTCCTGCTTCCTCCACAGAGCCTCTCTGCTGTTCTGCTTCTTCCACAGAGCCCCTCTGCTGTTCTGCTTCTTCCACAGAGCCTCTCTGCTGTTCTGCTTCCTCCACAGAGCCTCTCTGCTGTCCTGCTTCCTCCACAGAGCCTCTCTGCTGTTCTGCTTCTTCCAGAGAGCCTCTCTGCTGTCCTGCTTCTTCCACAGAGCCTCTCTGCTGTTCTGCTTCTTCCAGAGAGCCTCGCCCCTGTCCTGCTTCTTCCACAGAGCCTCTCTGCTATCCTGCTTCCTCCACAGAGCCTCTCTGCTGTTCTGCTTCCTCCACAGAGCCTCTCTGCTGTTCTGCTTCTTCCACAGAGCCTCTCTGCTGTTCTGCTTCTTCCACAGAGCCTCTCTGCTGTTCTGCTTCTTCCACAGAGCCCCTCTGCTGTTCTGCTTCTTCCACAGAGCCTCTCTGCTGCTCTGCTTCTTCCACAGAGCCTCTCTGCTGTTCTGCTTCTTCCACAGAGCCCCTCTGCTGTTCTGCTTCTTCCACAGAGCCTCTCTGCTGTTCTGCTTCTTCCACAGAGCCCCTCTGCTGTTCTGCTTCTTCCAGAGAGCCTCTCTGCTGTTCTGCTTCTTCCAGAGAGCCCCTCTGCTGTTCTGCTTCTTCCACAGAGCCTCTCTGCTGTTCTGCTTCTTCCACAGAGCTGTTCTGGAGGATTTATACTTTAGTCCCCGTCTTCACTGTCCTCCACATGTGACTCCTGTGCTTTACATGCTGCAGTGTTGTGTTACACCTGGATATCTTTTAAAGACATATATTGGAATGTAACAGTATATTACAAACGTGCAGACCCTGTAGTGTTGTGAACAGCTCCTGTATTACATAGAGCAGAGCCACAGCTGTCAGAGCATCATTGCTCATCTTCATCACAAACTGTATCTGAACAGAGACCCTCTCACAGACATATGCAGAGAAGTTTAATACACTTTCTGCAGATGAAACACACGCTTTGTGCTTTATCTGGGCTAATGGCTGTGTCCCTCCCCAAAGATATATTGTGATATAATCTTTTGTTTCCCAGTTTTAGACAGAGGCTAACTTCGTACAGAGGCTAACTTTATACAGAGGCTAATTTCATACAGAGGCTAACTTTATACAGAGGCTAACTTTATACAGAGGCTAACTTCGTACAGAGGCTAACTTTATACAGAGGCTAATTTCATACAGAGGCTAACTTTATACAGAGGCTAACTTTATACAGAGGCTAACTTCGTACAGAGGCTAACTTTATATAGAGGCTAAGTTCATACAGAGGCTAACTTTATACAGAGGCTAAGTTCATACAGAGGCTAACTTTATACAGAGGCTAACTTTATACAGAGGCTAAGTTCATACAGAGGCTAACTTTATACAGAGGCTAACTTTATACAGAGGCTAACTTTATACAGAGGCTAAGTTCATACAGAGGCTAACTTTATACAGAGGCTAAGTTCATACAGAGGCTAAGTTCATACAGAGGCTAACTTTATACAGAGGCTAACTTTATACAGAGGCTAAGTTCATACAGAGGCTAACTTTATACAGAGGCTAACTTTATACAGAAGCTAACTTTATACAGAGGCTAAGTTCATACAGAGGCTAACTTTATACAGAAGCTAACTTTATACAGAGGCTAAGTTCATACAGAAGCTAACATCATACAGAGGCTAAATTATACAGAGGCTAATTTTATAGAGAGGCTCAGTTCATACAGAGGCTAAGTTCATACAGAGGCTAACTTCATACAGAGGCTAACTTTATACAGAGGCTAACATCATACAGAGGCTAACTTTATTCATAGGCTAACTTCATTCAGAGGCTAACTTCGTTCAGAGGCTAACATCATACAGAGGCTAACTTTATACAGAGGCTAATTTTATAGAGAGGCTCAGTTCATACAGAGGCTAAGTTCATACAGAGGCTAACTTCATACAGAGGCTAACTTTATACAGAGGCTAACATCATACAGAGGCTAACTTCATTCAGAGGCTAACTTTATTCATAGGCTAACTTCATTCAGAGGCTAACTTCGTTCAGAGGCTAACTTCGTTCAGAGGCTAACTTTATACAGAGGCTAAGTTCATACAGAGGCTAACTTTATACAGAGGCTAACTTTATACAGAGGCTAACCTTATACAGAGGCTAAGAGACTTCAGAGTAACCCTAACCCTTCTGATCTGAGGCCTGTACTACGAAGCCTACACATCTTCCGGCGCAGACTGAAGACTCATCTCTTTCGACTCCACTTCGAGCGATAGAATTACTAACAAATAATTGCTAACAAAGCACTTATATACTAATAAAGCACTTATATACTAACAAAGGACTGGCTTATCTAAAGCCAGTTGAGTAGCACTTGAAATGTTTTGGCTCTATGAAACCTGAGGCCTGTAATACGAAGCCGGATTTTCGCTTAGCGAGCTGACTTCAGGAAAAACTTGGGGTTTCCGGTCCTACGACGCTGGTTCTCTTTTTAGCGGGCTAGATCTCCATGGTAACTTATGCTGAACGGCTAACCTGGGGCCTATACTACGAATCTAGTTCAACATATCCTGGATATGTTTTGAGTTATCCGGTTGACTTAATCCAAAACAAACCCGCTCTCGCTAAACTGTCCTACGACGCTGGCTATCAACTCGATCGCTCAAGCCAGTCGTGTCCTATCTAGTTAGGTGCGCGTTCACATAAAAGGGGTGGTATTTGGAGCGATCGACCAATCACAAACATGGACAAGCCGCGTACTGACAGTGCAGCGTCATACTTCCTGAATGAAAAGTGAACTTTAATATTAGTCAAATATGAAGAAGTTAAACTTTAAACATCCATGACTTAAACACTTTATCCAGGATCAAAGCCACATAGCTGCACCTGCAAGGTGAATACAGCTGGTAACAGAGAAAGTGTTTGAATGCGTACATTAACAGGTTTATGATATCACTGCCCCGTCTAAGACACGATCTGACTTTAATTACATTTGACTCCAGTGTTTCGTCAACTTAATGTGTTGCTTAAAATAATACTTCTGCATCCAGTATGTGACACTGTGAGTGTTGCACGGCCAGATACGGCTCAGCTGACTCAGATAAGGAAATATATGATACATTATGATGTGATATGATATGAATGATAATGGGACACATCGACGTCTGCACTCACAGTGCCGCGGACTGTACGTAATGTTACTCTGATCCGGTTACTTATGTTGTGGCAGATATTTAAGTAAGCTTTCTTAACGCTAATGTTATAATAGTCAGATTGCTCTGAAGATGGGAGGGGATATTCTATTCATGTTCACGTTCACAGTCGGTGATTTTGGCCGACTGTATTTCCTTTATCCTGTAATATGACTTGATTGCTTTAAACTCTGCACACTGTTGTTATCAGCGGTTCCACCATGGTTGCTACCTCAACCTGTAATAGATTTATCCTTATTGAAACGGTCTGAGGACAAGGATTAACATGGACATTAAATAAATCAACAGTAGGTGGCGATATATGATCCAAGTGGAAGCGATTCGCCATTAAAGCAAAGAAGAAGAAGAACTCCGCACAGTTGATCTCTTATCCTGGAACCTTTCCTGCTCCGGAGCAGGCTAGCCGTTCAGTATAAGTTATCTAGCCCACTAAGGCTGGTGCCCCACGAGGACGAAAACGGGTTGTATCCGCATATTTCTCTTGCGTATAGCCCTGTTTGCCACACGAGGCCGTAACTAAACGATAGAAACGGACCCCGCAAACGATAACGGGTCCCAAGGAGGATAGATCTGGGAACGGAGCACTCTGGGGGGTCCAACGGCTCCGTGTGATCGCCTCTATACGATCATTTTGTGATAATGATGACGCAATAGCCCCGCCTCTCCCCCCCTCTGCTGCTCACCCCCGCGTCAAAGTACACTGCACACTGAATTCAGATTATTTATCTTTCTCTCGATATGGACATAAACGCGAGTGAAGTCTAATCTGACAGGACGGAGACACGCAGCTCCTGCCGCTGTGATGCAGCGAGAGTCACACACTTCAAGTCAGCTCATCACCCTTAGCTATTTTAATGACCTCTCAAACTAAACTAGTTATAAATATGTTTATTTGTACAGTCGGGTCATAATTACAGGATCAGCTGCTGCATGAGACAGACACTGACGCTGTCAGAAGAGAGGAAAAAGAGACAGGCTCCGTGTATTTTATTATTATATATCATTATATAGAGTCGTTATTCATTTGTTTTAAAGCTCAATAAATAACAATGAAGACCTTTGACCGGCACTTTTATCATTTTGTCCGGAAGATTTAAACTTTAACACACGTTGACCGGCGAAAAACTCTGCCCGGTTCCCTCGGCCCCCACCAAGGAGAATAAACAGAAGGGCAGCCATGACAACCATTCTGCTTTTGTGGAGGAAGTTACAGCGCCACGTACAGGCTCGGCATATGTACTGCAGCTTTTCCAGCGGTTGGAGCTAAACGGAGCTGTCTCGTGTGAACAGACACTATCCGGGGTCTATTGCGTGTGGACGGAGGCCTTTTTTGTGATTGCGATTGCGTTTGTGTATGCGTTTTCCCGTATGCGTCCTCGTGGGGCACCAGCCTAAGAAGTGAACCAGCGTCGTAGGACCGGAAATCCCTGAAGTTAGCTTGCTAAACGAAAATCTTGCTTCGTAGTATAGGCCCCTGGTCTGGAGCAGGTTAGGTGGCAGGCTAAGAGATCAACTCAGTGAAAGCACCGCCTGCTGACCAATCAGAGCTCCGTGTGCAGAGTTTAAAGCGATCAATTCATATTACAGGATAGAGGAAATACAGAAAAACTGCCGTTGCAGGAAAGACGGCCGGCAAAAATCAACTGACTATGTGAACGTGAACATTAATAGAATATCCCCTCCCATCTTCAGAGCAATCTGACTATTATAACATTAGCGTTAAGAAAGCTTACTTAAATATCTGCCACAACATAAGTAACCGGATCAAATTCGAATAATCCAATAATCAGCTCCTACTGTAAGTGCTAACCCTATCGTCTATCCCTTGACCTCTGAGTGAAAGGTCACGGGGTTAAGGGATAGTGGATAGGAGAATTCAAAAGGACTTAGGAGAAGAGACTGCGGTACTTTAGAGAATCGACTGCACTTCCACTATCCGACGTGTTTATGATGCGCCAGCGGACGTCATGAATGTGCGCCTGCTGCTGTGGGGAAACTATGGAAACTACAGTTTTCTATACAGCGGACTACAACATGGATGTTTAATAAGAACGAGGGACTACTGTAAACTCATCTAGAGACTCTGCACCATGCTCTGATGCTGTTATGCTTTATGAACGGGGACAACAGAGAAACATATTCTTCATGACCAAAGATGGAATTGAAATAAAAAAGGAAAGTGAAACTTATGCTCGTCACCCTCTCCCTCCGGTCCACATTAATACAAATGATCCCAATACGTATGATTGTATGAAAAGATCTTAAAATCAATACAAATGTATTTATTATAAACGTTAGTCCTTAACATCTATCACTGTGTATATCACCATTCAAACATCTTTTAAAGTTGAACAAACCCCACACAGCTCAGTAAAGACTGTGAAATGTTGACTTTATTTGATCATTTCAGTAAAAACTAACGTTCATATTTCTCTTTTTGATTATAATACTGATGAACGTTCAAAACAAAGCACTTTGGCAACTTACCACATACGTTTTAAAAAGCTTAATAAGCACCGTAACTTTCATGATATCATTTCTCGTTCATAATCGGTTGTTTCCGTGAACGGCCGACTGTTGTGTGACGGCAAATGCTGCGGCCGCAAGGCATTGTGGGGCAGCATTTTCTCCTCTCCTCCTAAGCTAAATGGACTATTCGACTTCAGCCCGCGTCCTTGGTTTGGGGGAAATTTCGAGGCTGCACATGGGTAGACTTTGCGTCCTTAAAATCCCCACAATGCTTTGCGCACGGCGGGGCGGGGCCTCTCATATGACGCACACCTGCACACTTGTTAGCCTGTTCCATTCTTCTTCATTTTCCGAAGCCGTGGCTTGGAAGCATACTTGCTTCGTTTCTGAAGGAAGTGACTTGGAAGTACGCGACTACCAAGCCAGCATCCTCGAGATTGAGAAACGGCCCCTGAGTGAACACAGAGCAGTGATCAAAAACAAGATAAAGGGAATCCCCTGAACGAGTCACTGTGACTGCAGGAGTCCACGGGGACGATGCATCCATCACACAGCATCCACCTGATACTACTGATACACACATATGGTCTGTGTGTGTGTGTGTGTGTGTGTGTGTGTGTGTGTGTGTGTGTGTGTGTGTGTGTGTGTGTGTGTGATGGTGATCTGAGCGGTATGTGCTGCAGCATCCACTGAGTGAGGATGCAAGTATTCAGAATATGTGTATATTTGATATGTACACACACATCTGCTGATGTGTCTCTGCTGCTCGTGCACACACTCATGCACAATAATAACATAATGCACAGAGATCAGGTCCTGTCTCCCCCACAGTCTCCCCACAGCTGAGGATCCTCTCTGATCTAGACCTTCAGACCCGGTGCAGGATCACCTGTCCGGGTCCACCTGCTCTGTCTTCAGGTGACCTACATATTAAAGCCGCGTGAGTCACACTCGTGCATCCTCCATGTGATGGGGGGGGGGGAACTCACCTCGACAAAATAGAAGCAGGGCAGCAGACTGACGCTGTCCTTGGTGTGGCCCCCCTTCTCTCTTCCAGACATGGTGGGGCCTCGATGAGTCCGGATCCGAGACGTGAGGAGACGCTCAGCAGCGCGCCATGGAGGAGCTATCCGGCCCGGAGACCCGCAGATAGACCCGCAAACAGACCCTCACAGACCCGCTGCAGACCCGCAGATAGAACCCGCAAACAGACCCGCTGCAGACCCGCAGATAAACTCCGCAAACAGACCCTCACAGACCCGCTGCAGACCCGCACAGACCCGCAGATAGACCCCGCTGCAGATCCTCACCCCGCTGCAGACCCGCACAGACCCTCACAGGCCCGCAAAGAACCGCACTCAGAGACCCTCACAGACACCCTCACAGAGACCCCGGCCCTGGTGTTATCTCCGCTCGTGAGGCTCGGTCCAGTCTCGAGGAGCTGTCAGATGGAGGCTCACCGAGGAGGGGGGAGGAGGAGCGCATGCGCACTGCGGAGGAAGACGACGGCATAAGGACGTTAGTGCTAAGTGTGGAGAAGCTCGAATCGATCATACACACAGACCAGAAAACATCTCATTTTGTTTTCTATTACATACTTCTCGTGCAGATTCAATGCTCACATTATCACGTGCCCCTGTCACGAGCCCTCATCTGTGTTCACTGCCATCAGCTGATAGTGCACGAGCAGCGCCACAGGGAGGCGCACTTACACACATTTATATATATCACTCACACACACTTATATTCTCTATATCACTTACACACATTTACATTATATATATAAATTACACTACACACTAATATTCTACATATCACTCAAACACTTATACTTTATATATTTATATTCTATATATCCATATAAATACTGAGTACTTGAGTAAATGTACTTAGTTCCCACCTCTGCTTATACTTTATATATTTATATTCTTTATATCACTTGTGCACTTTATGTATGCCTTACACCTTGATCAGTTCTACAGTCTTATAGCACAAAGGATCCAACATATTGTGCAGATGTTCCTTCAGTGGTAATGAGACACATCATGGAGGACTGATACGTGTTGATATGTGTTCTCCTCAGATGTGATGTTAGATAGTATCTCAGCTCACCCCCACAGATCTGTTTACACTGAGGCTATGGGAGGGCTGCAGCCCAATGCATTCTGGGCCATGCCTTACATCATGATATAATACAAATCTACACACTCTAGTTCACTCATCAGCATGTGCTGCACAGTCAGTGTGTGAGTGTGTGTGTGTGTGTGTTTACATATCTGTAACAGTGTTTCATAATCACACACACACAGTGTGTGTCAGGCTGTGAGCTCTGTGTCAGGTGACACCTCTCCCTCAGGTAACTGTACCTGCAGATCCTCACACACTGCTCTGCTCACACACACTCTGTGGATCAGATGTAGCTCCCATCACACAGTGCAGGTTTCTCACTTTTCCCTAACTTTACTCAGACCCTGAAGGCAGCATCACCTCAGCCCATCGATTAATAAGAAGGAGCTTGCCACAGACTGACCCGCGCATGCGCCTCAGCAGGCACACACACCGTGCTGCCCAGCAGGATCCGGTAACCGAAACAGAGAGAGAGAGAGAGAGAGAGAGAGAGAGAGAGCCACCGAGGCTCTGAGTCCGGCAGCAGCTCCTCCACTGACCCGCTGAGAACCCCCGGACCCCGGACCAGGTGAGACTGTCCCCCACCATCAGTGTGTGTGTGTCCAACACACACATCTTTCTATATATATATATATATATATATGATATGCAGTGATGAGAAGCAGCGCCACCCAGTGGAGAGCCCAAAGACTGCAGTTAGATCATTTTATACAGGCCTTATTATTATTATTATTACTATTATTATGTGTATTATCATCAGAGCATGGTGTCCTGGTCTAACAGCTCCTCTCTTCTGTCCTCAGGAGGAAGTGTCATGCCTGTGAAACGCCTCGGGAGGAAGGAGAGGAGGAAGCTGCTCACGTGTCTGGGTGCAGAGGTGAGAGATCTTTCTAATCCTCACCCCTCTAACGGCCCGTCCACACGGCGGCGTGCTTTGAAGCTTCAACGCTTCTGCCCAACGCCGAACTGCATTGTGGGAGCGCCGCTTCGCTTTGCTCGCGTTCCTCGCTTCAAAAGTTGAGAAAAGTTCAAATATGACATGTGGGGTTCCTCAAGGCTCCATCTTGGGGCCTCTTCTCTTTAACATCTACATGCTACCACTGGCTCAGATAATGAAAACAACTAAATAAGTTACCATAGCTATGCGGATGACACACACATTTACATAACCATTTCACCAGGAGACTATGCTCCAGTTAAAACACTGAGTAAGGGCATTGAACAAATCAATAGGCGCTTTCACACCGGAGTACTTTTCCCTTTTAGTTCCGTTAGTGCCTGGAATGTTGCGTTCACACCAAAAAGATAACTTAGTTCATGAGAACTGTTCCCCCCTGTTCAGTCCCTGCTAGAGAGGTGGTACTTTCCTGGGGAGAAAAAAGTTCCAATTTCTATTGGCTGGGCGAATTGCAAACCACGCCCCGTAAAACTCGGAAAAGTTTTGTGAAGCCGCCATTGTATTTGCTGGCATTAGCATTTTTAGCATTAGCATTAGCCACGCGCACCAACGGAGAGA